AATTCCAAACTTTATCTTCTCAAACCTTTGTCGAACTCAATTTCATTTTTCAAACTCAATTTCTTCGTTATGGCTGCTGACAACGACCCAATATACGACATGCAGATCAATGATCTATTGTCGAATACGCTCATATGTAATCACCTCCGTCGTCTGCAAGAATTCGCAGCAGACGACGTTGGGGATGAGGATTTCCTGGCGCTAGAATTGCCAGATGACCAGATGACCTATATACAAAAGAATCAGCGAAGACGCATCAAACGGGACAGAGCGGAGGCTCATGCACGTCTCATGACAGATTATTTTGATGACAATCCCCAATGGGCTGTAGAATTTGATCGTCGTTTCAGAATGTCCAAAGAGATGTTTTTGGATATCTGTGCCAAACTTGAAGCGCATGACATCTTTTGGGTTCAAAGATATGTCAGTACTTCTTATCAAATGGAATGGTTTTTGAGATTCCAATGTTTTCTTTTTTTTACTCTTCAATCTGGTGTGTCTGGTAGGATTGCTGCCTTCAGCTGGGTTTATCAACTATCCAAAAAGCAACTTCTGCAATACGACAATTGGCTTATGGAATTTCAGCGGATTTGATAGACAAATATGTGGAAATTGGCGAGACCACAGCAAACTTGTGTATGAAGAAGTTCGTACAAGGGGTTATTGAAATCTATGGACCCAAATTTCTCCGTCCACCAAACGAAGACGAGCTGGAAAAGATCACAAAAGAGTATGAAATGCGTGGATTTCCAGGTTGCAAAGGTTCAATCGATGGAATGCACTGGGTTTGGAAAAATTGTCCTTCAGGTTGGGCCAGTTCGTTTCAAGGGAAAGAGAGAAAGACGACGATAGTTCTTGAAGCGGTGGCGTCCAAAAGTACTCGGATTTGGCATGCATTTTTTGGAACTCCTGGCTCTTTGAATGATATTAATGTTCTCAATGAAAGCCCTCTCTTTGACCAATTTTTAAGTGGTAGGTCTTTCTTCTAATTTGTAATGATTTGATTTTACCACACTGATTCTTTTGATTAGGAACGGATGAGAGGTTGAACTTTACAGTAAACAATAACACTTACTCACGAGGGTATTACCTTGCCGATGGCATTTACCCCACCTGGCCAGTTTTGATCAAGACCATCAATAATCCACAAGATGATGCTTCAGCATATTATGCAAAGTTACAAGAAGCGGCTCGAAAGGACATTGAAAGAGCTTTTGGCGGACTCCAATCTCGATGGCATATTCTTGCAATCCCTTGTCGACTTTGGTCATTGCATGATATACGTCAAATTATGTATGCTTGCATTATTATGCACAACATGATTGTTGAAGATAGGGAGGTGGTTGATCCCAAAGTTACTGATTTTCCCACCAACACAACCATAATACCCAATCACCGTGATCCACGCATTTGGCCAACACCCACTGAGATGGTTTCAAATCATCTGGATTTACAAGATGCTGAGATACACCATCGTCTGATGCATGATCTCAAAGTGCAACTTTGGCTAGCACGTGGTGAGGCAAGAAACTTGATAGAAGATTGATATCATATTGCAAAATTTATATAATATATTGCAATATTTATAAACCATATTCATGTCTATAAAAACTACTAGAGACACAAGTTGAAATAAAGAAATGAAAAGAAATTTGAATATTTTGAGAGAAGAAATAAAAAATTTACAACTTCTGTTTTATTTGATGAGAAATGAAATTTAGAATAAAAATTTCCCCATCACAAACTCATGAACTTCTTGATGGTTGACTTCATTGATGACTTCATTGTTCAGTTGATTCTACTGGATCACTGTCTGGATTGGGTAATACATGAGTCAACTTGATCAATTCCAAAAGAAAATTCATTAAAATCAGGACTTACTAGATGAAGGTGTGTATTTCTCTTTAAGTCTTTGTTGCATCATCTGTAACACTTCCTTTGCAAGATCAGTCTGACAACTTTCCTCACTTGTCTGCAAAACTTTGAGGTCATTTACTTGCACCAGGCTCGCTTTGGCTTCAGCATCAGCTTTAGCCATCTTCTTGACCAATGCATTACTTTCTTCAAGAGCCATAACCTTCCTTTCAGCTAATTCAATACTGATCTTAAATTGTTTATCACGGGCATCCTTGACATCTTGACTCTTCTCATCTTCTTGACGCTTCCTCTTCGACTGCTTCATTCCAATCGGGCGAGGCGGAGTAGAAGGTCAAGATTTCGCGGTCGGAGTACTCGGATCGGTTGTATCCGACTTCGCATCGCTAGAGGGAAGACCAGCGAGAGCCATCGCCAGAGGGCCAGGAGGTGGAAGTGGGACGATCCACTTGGGTGAATTCGAGAGAACCCTCCAAGCCGCCAGGGATTTGAACGGCGGCTTCTTTGGGTTGAGTGTGTTGTAACGCTGGATGGCCAGGTCTGGCCAGTTGGATTCGACGCTGCCACTCGGAGGCGATTGTTGTATCAAAGCGTAATACCCGCTGAACTTGATGGTTGCTGTCTTCAATGCAGCCCATCTAATAAAACAAAGATTCATCAGTTGATATCACAACTCTGAGAACAATGAAATAAAAACAATGAAATAAATCAAGTACTCACTTGATTTGGACCGAATTGGTATCTTGGTATACAAACGTCAATAGCGAGTTGAAACGTTCCGTCACTCGTTTGAAGAAGGTGTCGGCAGTTTGATTTGTGCCGACATTGGGTTGCTGGCTGATGTAGACCCAAGCCTTGGCTAAAAGGACTTCCTCGGCGGAAGACCAATTATGGCCTTTCTTCTTCTTCGATGGGTTTTGATCGAATTGAGATGAATCTTCAACATCTTGATTTGATTGATCTTCGTTTTGAATTTGATCTTGATTATCTTGAATGAAATTCATTTTAAATTTTTGATGACAATCTCGTAGTGTTGATGATTGGGTACTTGAGATGAAGATGATTGTTTGATCGAATGGAAGAATGTGAGAGGAGGTGGTGAGACGGGGGTGACTTGAGGTTTGGTAGGTTCGGTATATCCAGAAGATACCGACTCGGTTTTACTGGACCTCTACAGAATTTCAACCGAATCGGTACGTACCGATCGGTATTTTTGCGACGATTGAGGATTTTGACCCTCGGTACGGTAAAATATACCGTACCGAGGCCGTTTACCGAGACGATAGGAGATGCTCTTATGAAGGTTGTGAGTTTTGAAAGTGAATCACGTGTTTAACTCGAGAGTGTTGTCAAACGCGTGATGGGGAAGTGACAGCGTGTGATAGTGAAAGGGTGTAGATTGAAGTTTGAACTTTCTATGTGTACTGAAATGATGAGTAATCCAGACTTGATACTTCACTAATTCGAAGTTTGATTTTAAATTCCTCAGCCAAGATCATCATCTTACATTTTACATTTTACAAATCCAAATCGAAATCGAAATCAAAATCGAAATCAAACTCTCAAAAGTAAAGATACTCAATCATGTCTACGGAAGAAAATCAATCTGCTCAAACCGAGACAGCTCCCCCACCTAACTCGACCGATTCCATTACCACCAACTCATCATCACAGGTCGATGTAGAACCCCTACACCATCCACAGGAAATGGCACATGTAGAGGTACCTCACAATGTTGAGAATATCCCTCAAGGTGTTAGCTCGATGACAGGCAAATCACTCTTGGCTAAGAAAATGGCAGCCAATGGGTTAGTCTCTCTATCGTTCTTGATTCATACAATTCACTCAATCTAACTGTTAAACAAACAACCTCCGCACCTCTCTGTTTCTGTTTTCTCAATAGCGCGTTTTACTCTCCATCCGACGCTCTCGTCTCACCTTGCACTCAAAAACTTAGTTCTCAAAAAGGAAAGCGATGGGCCAACGCAAAGTTAGTTGAAGACTTTACCCTTCCTCACTAACCTCCTTTCAACTTATCCTCACCTCAATCTATTCTTACTCGGATCAATGACCTGACCCTGAACAATCTTATCATCGCGCTTTTCTTGATCGAAATAGGGTCAAGCCTACCGTTTTTGGCAAATCAAACCTCAATCAATCTTCCCTTGGTAATAGTTTAAATTCCCCAGTGGAGGACACCAAGAAAGAAGTCTTGGTAAGCACATATCGTCTTGAATCGATCGATCACAACACCTGCTTATACTTTTTATCATCCTCTATCCTTTGTTCCGCGAATACATCTTATAGAGTACTTGTGACGCTAATGGACAGGCAGAACAGACAGAAGTTCCAGTAACCAACACGACGTCAGATGCAAACCCGTCTCCAGAACCAGTTTCAGCCGCCACATGAACAAATCTTGTGCTATCAGTCTTATGCACTCTCGAACTCTATCTCCGATCGGTCGGGTCTTATCTCTATACCTTCTTTTCCTTGTTAATGCGTTGGATTTGCACTCTGCATTCACTCATGACCCTTACCCGATGATCGAAGTAAAGAAAGTCCTAAAAAAGAAAACATTAACTCCGACGAAATGTATAAATGACAAAAATCAGAGCAAAACTCACCCAAAAAAATATAGTTGTACAACACCCTCACTCACACATACATACACACGTCTTTTTCGTATCTTTTCCTTTTTGTTTGCTTTTTACCATTGCTGTTGTTGTGTTTTTTTTTGGTGTTGTTTTTTTTTTCTCACTTCTCTTTTGATTTTACCCTGATTGAGTTTTATCCTTCTAGATGTTATTGGGTTCATTCTATGTTACCTTCATTTGATGTATGGTCTTCAGATGCATCTCCTGCCAATGAAGAACAGGAGACTTTTGCGCGATCCGCTCGATGCCTCTTCCTTTCAAAGGGATGATGGGCTTGAATTTTAAATGCTGTGAAACGGGTTGAGTGCTCACCAGCGCACACTCCTTGTCTGTGTCTCTTCGCGCTCTTTTAAACTAGTGAATGAGGTCCGAAAAACACAGACAGCATAGCAGCAGTGTCATGCGTTGCGCAGCGTGCGCTGGTTATGCAATTTGCATTCATACTTGTTGATTACGAAGAGCTTTCAAGTGGGCGTCTTCTAATGGTTAGGAAACCTCGTTGTGGATTCTGCAATCCCGTGGAAATGTCGGTTCGATTCCGGCCGCCCACATCTTCTTTTGCCAGTTGTGTCACCAATGACACCGATGTGTATGGTTTGTTTTTCTTTGTAAGGTTCAGGTGTTTTGAATGATCACATGAAAGGATGAAAAAAAATGCCAGTCAGGAAGACAATGATTTTTTGTGTTATAAGCATCAATCATATAAGTTTATGTAAAATGATAAGGATGTGCATTAGTGAAAGTAAACTAGGATAAGATCAAGAAACTGGATCTTCTTTTTATATGACTTTGATGTAATTCTTTAAGATTTGAATTTGAACTTTTTAGAAAGTTTCTTATCACATATGGTCAATTTGTTTTTCTATCCAAACCAGTCATTCTGAAATTTGACACACAGCCATCAAAGGCAATAAGGGATCAGGTCAAACAATCTTTCTGTTTTGACCATCAAAAGGTTTTCCCACTTTCATAAAACTTTGCTGAATGTTATGAATTCTGTAAAGGCTGGTTTGCTCAACCAGTTTGGTTTTTCGCCCAATTTGACCCCTCATTATTATTCTTTCTTTTTTCAGTGTTCTAGTTGATGTTTGATCCAGTAAAAAAATGTTTTGGTTGACAAGCTTCCTAAAAGTGGCTTTACCAATTTTATTCAAAACAAAAAGAAGAATTAAATAAGTTAGAAGTGGTTTGATTCTTTACTTTTGTTCCTTTATTCTTCAATTTTGGCATTTGCTCATGAGGAATGTTCTTAAGGGTCTGAAAATATGTGGTATGGACTGTCTTGATTGTTGGCTAATATATAATTCCAAACCCCCCACGCTATCAGTTTCATAAGGGAGTTCTAAGGAGCAATACCAGAGGGGGTTTGACTGAGTACAAGAGGAACACATTATTGAGGAAAAGAAAAATGTAAGGTCAGCGCATGACCCTATCAGTCAACCAGAAATCATCAGACAGGAGGGTGGGAGGACCAAAAACAGAGAAGAAGAAAAGGAGATAGAGAGAAGCAGATGTTGAGGATCTATGCTGAATGGATCAAGGGAAAACTAAAAAGCCATACAGAAAAATCAGACATACATTAAATCTACAAAAATCTGTGGCAATGACATAACTCTCCTTATATGATGGTTTATGAGGCTCTATCAAAATCTCTGATCTTGCACCAATTTATAATGTCATTTACATTTAGAGGATACAAAGTAGAATCTGGGAACATGACCAGACTTCTGCCCATATTTTTTGGCTGTAAATGTGAATCATGTGTCCAGAATTTTGCCCAGGAAATCCAAATTTACAGCCAAAAAAAATCAGGACACAAGTCCATGCATGTGCCTGGATTCTACTTTGTATCCCTTAATTGGCCTGATTCACAATGGAGACCATTGGCCTTCCTACATTTGGCCTGGTCGGTCTCTGAGATATTCAGGTGTTTGGAGTGAAAGGACTGCTGTAACTTCCTCTGTTCCTCCATGTAGGAACTAACCATGATTTTGGGGAGCATGTGTAAAGGCTCATTCATGGCAATCAAGACACTGACATTCATTTTATAAAAGCAGCTTGTCATATGACATGGGAGTAGACAGAGGAGTAGACAGAAATGCATGTGAGGTTCCCAAGATGTTTTGGGTTATCTGACATGAAATCCAAAGCCCAGGTGGGATGGAAAAAACTGTAATGATACTGTCACCAGACACAATCTGGATTTCTTAAATTGATTGGCAATAAAACAAGGTTCAGAAAGGTGGGGCACTTTCAATGGACGGGCATGATGCTATCATCCAATGAACAACTTGTTTCAGCTGTTGTCTGAATTCTGAATTGGTTTCAACTATTGCTAATAAATTGAATATTGTTACATGTTCATTGTTCTTACAAGATCAAGATCAAATCAGAGGTCATCATTGTGAGATAAGATTACATAATAAAACAATACAGAATGCCCAAGGCTCATGTAAAACTGAATGTGAAAATATGAGAAGAGCTTTGAACACTTATCAACACTCCAGTGTCTCCACCAACTTCCTTGCAAAGACAAATTGTGGGATCAGTCAAAGATGAAAAAAACTATTACATCACCAATCATTTTCACAATAATTTTATGCCACTCAATCTTTATGTCCAGGGCAAACATAAGTGGTTATAATTGGCCAACTGAAATCCTTCAAACGGGAAGAACAGATGCAGTTGAAACTATGGGGCATGTATTGAAGGACCGGTACCACACAGGGAACAAGATACCCACAGAGGATGATACTTCTAACCCCAAAATCAAAAAGCACTTGCAAGCCATTGAGAATGCACTGATGGAAGAAGACACAGAGATTGAGATTGATTATCTCAATAAATATCCTGAATCTAGTTGGACTCCATTCTTGAAGCAAAGCTATCAAGAATCAAACAATATCCTTCCACCCAAAGACACAGAAAATATTATGGGGTCCCCCAATTTGATCAGGAAGAGATTGAGGATGGAAGACCATACAAACCTTGAGTGTTCAGATTTCAGCTTCAAAAGAATTCATGAGGATTGTACTCCTGGAGGAGAATTTGAAGAGCACCAGCTTGATATTCCAACCTTAAATCCAGGTCCTCAAAGCAGACAGATTGTTCACCACCCTAATAAACAAAGAAAAAAGGAAAAGGAAAAGCTTGTTGGCATGCAACTTGAGTCACATGGGTCTAAACCACACCGTTCCTCAAGATCACATGTTCCACAATTGAAAAGTTTGGAGCTACCCAAAGGATCAAGAGATAAACTTCCCAATAGTCCTCTTATCAGTGATTACCTTGCAATGAGGTTATTAAAATCAAAAGGAGCCACAGCAGTTTGGCATAACCCCAAGGTATTGAAGCAAATAGAATTGTTTTTTAATGGATTAAATGCAGGTTCTTACTCATTACTCAAATATCCATCAAACACTTATTATACCTACAATGAAGTCAACCAGGCAATTACAAGAGTGAAGATAGATGTTGTTGTGGCTTACTTTGGTGCATTGAGCATCATGTTCCAGGGGAAGCAAGATGGGCCTGTGATGCAAGAGTTGATTGCCAACGGGTGGGAAATCCTTCAGAAATACCTGTGTGAAGCATTTGATTGTACCAAAAAACCTTTGAACACAGTATCCAATACCTGGCTAGATCAAATAAATCATACTTCACAGATCCTAAATACCTTTTGCAGTACATTGTAAAACTTGATCCCAAAACTACCATTTCAGCATCTCTTGTCAAAACTCTGATAGCTATTTGGTCAAAAAGCACTATCTACAAACCAAGAAATTACCAAATTGATGTCTCATCTGATTCACTATCCTTCCTGATTGGATCACAAGCAGCCCTGAGAGGCCCCCAAATCTGGATGAACAAACCTCATGTTTCTTCAGAGCCATTTAAAGACTACAAAGACAACCAACTTATAACTAAAACTTCAAATTTGGAGAAGTTCAGACCAGCAATTGAGAAAAACCCAGCCATGTATTTTGGGATAGTAGGTGTCAGTGAGATGTTGAATCACATGGATTTTACAAATCAGATTGTTATCATCCTGAGAAGATTTAAGCATGAGATGATCAAACTTTGGAAGGAAGCTGAGGTTTTGTTTGATGGAATGGAAATTGCAGACAATTCCAACAATCTAATGAAGATCAAACCAATGATGATCAGCAATGCAATTTCACTAGTCTATTCAAAAATTATGCCAGCCTTCCTGGGTATTATTACAATGTTGAACAGAGATCAAGCAGGAAGCCAAGTGATAGAACAGCTACTGAGATCTGGTTGGATCACCCTCCAAAAGTATCTTGAAAGGTGGAAAGATGTTTTACTAGGAGATGCATCATCAATCATTTTGTCTGAAACTAGAAAGGCAGCATATGAAGTTAAATGGTATGATGCTAAAGACTCATTACATTATCTGTGTCAACGTAAAAAGTTGAAAAACGTTCCTGTTCAGCCCTTATGGTTTCTGGTAGAATTATGGTATGAGGAAGTGATTGAAAAGAGAGTAAGAGGTGAGGCTTCATTGGAATTTGAACCAGTACCTCCAACTAGAGATGTATACAATCACCTTTTTTCTCATCTGGAGAAAACCGGATTGGTTACCAAGAGAAATTGTCATTCAAGAGCCTTGGCTAATTTACCCAATGTTAACTTGGATTGGTAAGAAGATTCTCTACATATTCATATAGATTTAAAATGGTGAAGTGTTTTACACCCAAACCCAGGCAGGCATTTTACCCTTGAGGTGTAGTTGTTTTTCAGTATGAGTTTCAAATCAAATGAAGCACATCCTTTTGTACGGTTTTATTTCTTAGAAAGTCAAGTTATCCCTAGTGATTTCTGGCCATTGCATCATTAATATGCTAGCACAATTAAGGTGCAACCTTGCAAGCTGCCCAACTCAGGATCCCTAAAGGCACACTCATACTGTCCAATACTTTGTGCAAACTTTGTATACTTGTTGAATAGTGCACATGGCCTTTTCAAACTACTCTCAAAAATCTCCCCAAATCTCCCCTATACTTTTGCCCTTTGTCGCTGAGTAGGGGTTTGGGGGTGAAGTGTGTCACTTTATGAGCACATGTGACCAAAGTGTTTACTTGGGAACATAAATAGAGATGCTAAGAGATCAAGTTATTGTCCTTTGGATGACAGCTCTTGGTATACCAGAGTTTCCTGGGGAAGTGTAATCTGACAAAAGATAAAATGGAGAAAAGGCAGATGGCACAAGTAAATCAAGTCACAACAGACAAAACATCCTTTCAAATTGGGTGGTGGGCACCTTCAGGAACCGCTGGAATATCATTTCAGGAACGTAGCATATGTATGACAGGAAGGCAGAAAACTCTGAAGGATCACAAGGATCGTCTTGTGATGGCAGTTAGACATGGAACCAAGCGGCTGCGCGGCGAATGAAGGGTGTTGAAATACTGCGGGTTCACTGGACAAGGAAATTGCAGGTTATGCGAGAAGGCGAGTGGGGCAGTAAAGCAGGAACATTGGGACTAGCTCAAATAGCTGATCAATCCGATAAGGTTGTGAGGGATAC